AGATGCATTATTGCCTATGGAAACATACAGCGGTGTAAAGATCAGCAATACAGTGATGAGTACACAGCTGTAAAACAAAAATAAAAAATTTTAAGTTTTAGTGCAGTAATTTATGCTTGTACATGTGTTTATACACCTATACGCATGTATATATGCATACATTGCAATACTGACAATGAAGAAGAATTTTACACCTGTATATGCTTACGTGCAATCACACATGTTTATGCAAGGTCCTTATGGAACATTTTACTCAGGATCATTTTGTCAACAAGATACTGAGTATAAACATCAGTAAATTATTATGTCCATGTGCAACTGGCCTTTCAGGGCATACATCATACATGTGTATGTATAGAGAGAGAGAGAGCGCATTGTACATTCTTATGATTAAAGTGGTTGTCCAACCTCCCCTGAAATAAAAAACAGTCAGTAGCTACGAAAACTGTAGCTGCTGACTTTTAAAAAACAGCCACTAGCCTGTTCGCCTCAGCCGGGTTCTCCGGACGTCCTCTGTCCCTGGTGCCGGCATCTTAACCTCTTGGCGCCAGCCAAACGAAAATGTGCGGCCTCTCGGCGTCCTGATCATGTGACCGCCATGATGTCGTGTCACGGCGGTCACATGACTCTAAACCCCGCCCTGCCTCCCGGCTTCTGAAACCCTTAAAGGGCCAGTAGGCGCCAGAGCCAAGGGGTTAAGTGTTGACACGTGGCTGTGGCAGCTTGCGGCTTCACAGCTGGTTGCCCACTGCACAATTGCCGAAGAGGGTATCTGTCAAATTTGAGTACCAGCTCCCCAAAGGTGCCAATTCTTCACGGGGGATCAGTCCTTAAAGCGGAATGTCCCCTTCTGGGTGGAGCTCCACTTTAGGACATTAAGTAATCTATTTAAAACAATACAAACATATTTGTAAAACACTAACACACCTCAAAAATACAATTTATAGTAAACCAATACCATTTAACTATAAGATTGCCTTTGAAGATTTTACGAGTGAGAGGGGGTTCAAGCCATACTGGGACTTTTATTATTACAGGCATAAAAAGGGATACCAGCGTGGCGGTACTACATGCAGTAGTAAGTAGCATGCGTGTCCTATTACTGATAGGCAGTGCACATGATGCGGACCAGTTCAGAGAGCATTAATCGAGATGGCAGACAATAGTGTTAGTGCGTGCATGGAACAGCAGTGGTGATGATGTTTTTTGTGAATGAAGGCGTAAAACCCATGGATATCTACAGAAGACTTCAAGCACAGTACGGTGATGAGACGCTCAGCTGCAGTAAGACATTTGAATGGTGTATATGTTTCAAAGATGGCCGTACGTCCATCAGTGATGACCCTGAAAAGTAGTGTTTCCCAACCCACAGCAGTCATTCCTGTGAACATTCAGCGTGTGGAACGCCTGACCCTGGATAATCCACTCATACCTGTCGTGAAATTGGACCCTTAAATAAGTTCCTGGTAGGTCAGAATTTCAGCACTGATTTCAAAGTAAAGCTCGCTGTCCCATGATGGTTCAGGCATACTGAAAAATCTTTATTATGTATATATATATATATATATATATATATATATATGCGCATCTGCTTTGACCGGTCATTAAAATCATATCTAAAGCCATTTTTCCCATTGTGGATAGTGTATATGGAGGGTTAAAACTGCTGCTGTTCTTTTTTTTTTTTTTTGCCATACGGGTGTTTGTAGACTCAAATGGAAGTGAGAGTATAAAGTATGTTCCCAATACTGTATTAGGGAAATCCCTTCTTACAGCTGTCACAAGAACAAGTGTACCCATGAGAAGATTTAGTCCATGCCTGATGGTAACTTGAAATTTTGGATTTACCCTTACTTTTATTCCCAATGACATTGGTACAAAAGGCCAGTGAATGAGAGTGAGTCTCCCTAGGAATGCCTACAGCAATAAAAACCTACCAGTAGTTCTAGCCCCTCATCACTCCATCCAAATCTAAAAATAAATACATAAATTGCCTTTAGTAATACTTTAAATAGTCTCTCAAAATAGAAACAATGGCTTAAAAACTATTTATGTCAAATCTTTGAGGACTTCCGTGTAAGCCAACTTGTCTTGTGAGATCAGAAATGATTATTCCACTTTATATAAAAGTATCTTTTAATGAATGGTTGAGTTAAGCTTTAAACTGCCATTATATACTGCATATATATCTACAATCTATTGTACTCCATTTGAACTACAGTTTTTAATGTTTCAATGCTGGAGGAGGTTGACCAAGAAAGGGCATCCTTTACCAAATCGATAGTACACCTTCGCTATTCGGATAATGAACACAGAGACCCAACATAGAACAGGCAGTACACCTAACAGTCAAAAGTCAAGGTTGTGAGAGGATTGTGATTCCCACACATTCATGGTAATGTGTGCAGGTTAACACTGACACCATAAAAGGTAGAAAATCTCAGAAAAATGTGTAACGTAATCTTCTTAGCATAAAGATTGAGAGTCTCCAATAAGCAATGGTTTGGATAAAGGTATGGCTATATTAAAAATGCATCTAACTAAAAATGAATATATATGTGTGTGTGTGTGTGTGTGTGTGTGTGTGTGTATGTGTATATATATATATATATATATATATATATATATATATATATATATATATATATACACACATACACACACACACACACACATACACACATTATATATATATACACACACACACATATATATATATATATATATATATACACACATATATATACACATATATATACACATATATATATATATACACACACATATACACATACACACACACACACACGCATATTAGTGATTAACCAAAATGAAAATTCTGGACCAAAACCAACAATTCAAGATGCACTTGTCTAAAAACCGAAACTGAAATGGATTGTTTTTTTTAATATATATAATTTTATTATTTATGACTTTTCAATTAGTATGATGAAATTAAATGACAATTAATTAAAATAAAACAATACAGTACTGTAGAATAACTTCTACTGAAAATAACACACAAAAACTGGACAGAAAATAAAATGAAATATATATATATAAATTAAAAAACTTAAATAGAGGCATTTTTGCATCGAAGTCAATGGGACGGGATTTTGCATCAAAGTCAATGGGCCGGGATTTAGCATCAAAGTCAATGGGATGGGATTTAGCATCGAAGTCAATGGGACGGGATTTAGCATCAAAGTCAATGTGATTGGATTTGCATCTAAGTCAATGGGAAAGGATTTTGCATCAAAGTCAATGGGACAGGATTTTGCATTGAAGTCAATTATTATTGGAACTTTTTTTTTCCTACCAGCAATACGCTGGTAACCCTATTTTCAGCCAATAATTTGCAGCGGGTAAAATATATATATTTATATACACACATACACTAATATATACAGTTGCAAGAAAAAGTATGTGAACCCCTTGGGATTACGTGGAGTTTTGCATGAATTGGGCATAAAATGTGCTCTGAACGTCATCTAAGTCACAACAATAGAAGAACACAGTCTGCTGAACATAATACTACACAAACATTAGATGTTGCCATGGTTTAATTGCACATAACATGTAAACATTCACAGTTCAGGGAGGAAAAAGTATGTGAGGCCCTAGCTAATGACTTCTCCCAGAGCTAATTGGAGCCAGGAGTGAGCCAACCTTGACTCCAATCAGTGTGATGATATTGGATGTGTTGCTGACAGCTGTCCTGCCCTTAAAAAACACACACCTGTTTTGGGTTTACTGGTTTCAAGAAGCACTGTCTGATGTGAACCATGCCTCGCAGAAAAGAGCTACGATCAAGAATTGTTGACTTGCATGAAGCTGGAAAGGGTTACAAAAGTATCTCCAAAAGCCTTGATGTTCATGTGTCCACGGTAAGACAGACTGTCTACAAATGGAGAAAGTTTAGCACTGTTGCTACTCTCCCTAGGCGTGGTCGTCCTGTAAAAATGACTGCAAGAGCACAGCGCAGAATGCTGCATGAGGTAAAGAAGAATCCCAGAGTATCAGCTAAAGAGACCTACAGAAATCTCTGGCACATGCTGACATTTTTGTTGACACATCTACAATAAGGAAAACATTAAACAAGAATGGAGTACATGGGAGGACACCACGGAGGAAGCCATTGCTGTCCAAAAAGAATATTGCAGCACGTTTGAAGTTTGCAAAAGAGCACCTGGATGTTCCACAGCACTACTGGCAAAATATACTGTGGACAGATGAAACCAAGATTGAGTTGTTTGGGAAGAAACACACAACACTATGTGTGGAGAAAAAAAGGCACAGCACACCACCATCAAATCCTCATCCCCACTGTAAAACATGGCGGAGGGAGCATCATGGTTTGGGGCTGCTTTGCTGCCTCAGGGCCTGGACAGATTGTTGTCATTGATGGGAAAATGAATTCCAGAGTTTATCAAGACATATTGCAGGAAAACGTAAGACAATCTGTCCGCCAACTGAAGCTCCGCAGAGGATGGGTGATGCAACAGGACAATGACCCAAAGCATACAAGTAATTCAACAAAACAATGGCTGCAACAGCACAGAATACGCCTTCTGGAGGGGCCCAGTCAGAGTCCTGACCTCAACCCGATTGAAATGCTGTGGCATGACCTTAAGAGAGCGATTCACACCAGACATCCCAAGAACATTGCTACACTGAAACAGTTTTTGTGAAGAGGAGTGGTCCAAAATGACTCCAGATCGTTGTGCAGGTCTGATCTGCAACTACAGGAAACGTTTGGTTGAGGTTATTGCTGCCAAAGGAGGGTCAACCAGTTATTAAGTCCAAAGGTTCACATACTTTTTCCTCCCTGCACTGTGAATGTTTACATGTTATGTGCAATTAAACCATGGCAACATCTAATGTTTGTGTAGTATTATGTTCAGCAGACTGTGTTCTTCTATTGTTGTGACTTAGATGACGTTCAGAGCACATTTTATGCCCAATTCATGCAAAACTCCACGTAATCCCAAGGGGTTCACATACTTTTTCTTGCAACTGTATATATATATATATATATATATATATATATATATATATATTGTGACAGTGTGGTGATTTGTCACGATGCGGAAAGGTTATTTCAACCGGGATTCTCAACAAGGCAGGTTGAGGGGCTCCGGGTTACTTGGTTGATGCAGAGGAAAGTGGCTTTTCACTTTCCTCAGTTGTTTGTAAAGTCCATTTTTGGACCTGGAGCCTGGAGATTTCAAAGTGATTTGGGAGGGATGAAATCTCCAATCCTGGGACCAGATTTTGGGAATGGCCTGGATACTGATTGCTCAGCTGTGCATGGCTCTCTTCTAGAGTCAGGACCAGTGTTCTGGGCTCCACCCTGGCAGACAAGAGGTCAGTGCCCAGGAGTCAGGAGGGCTCCACCTAGGTGAGGTGGAAGCCAGAAGCAGCAAGGGGCTGCTAGGGGCTAGCTGTGTGATAAAGGCTCTTTTCGAATGAGTCAGTAGGAGACAGACGTAAATCGGTATACCTGAGAGAGCCAGAAGGCTGAATATTGTTTCATTTGTTTGATGGTGGATACCCCTGCGTGGGAAGCATTTATTGAACTTTCGTTTAAATAAAATTGGGCTAAAAGGCCTTTAAAAAGAAGAAGAAGAAGTGAGTTGCTGTGTCCTTTTAAAAGAAAAGCTCTACCATTTTGATGTGAGTTCCCACAATATATATAAACACACATACATACACACTATACCGTAAATATATATATATATATACACACACACACACACACTCTATAATATACTGTACGATGCACAAATTTTATCAGCTGTGGATTTGCTGACTCGAAGCCACAAAGTATAGCATAAGTAAGTATAATGAAGTGTCTCTCCTCGCAGACTGAAGGGCACTTCTTCATGCTCAGCGTCGGGGAACTAGCACATTGCACAGGACAGAAGAATCACAGGCTTCCATAACTGGAAAGTGCAAGCCTGCTATGGGTAGGGATTGAGCATTCAGGAAGAGGATCTGACTTAAAGAGGAACTAAGCTCTCCCAAACAACACTGATTTTTTTAAATGCTTATGTTGCTAGCATTAGATCATATTTACTTAGATAAAACTTTTTTTAACATTATTCCAGTTACTTCCTGGTTTCAATGCCTAGGCAAATTATGTCATACATCAAAGAAGTCTTCAGGAATGGAGGAGGGGAGGACTTAGCTAAACACACCCTCCTGCCTGCATGCGTGCGCTAAGGGCAGATGGGCTCCAGAAAGGAAATGCTACTGCCCTTATTCAAGATGGCAGCAGCCAGAAATGCTAGGAAAGTGTTTTCAATGTGATTTTACAGCAAAATAAAGCATGCAGACATGGATGGATGGGGGAGTTTGCTTTGAATATTAAAAATTAATTAAATAGCATTTTTGGTTTGTTGTGTGTGCTCACATACAATGTAGTTCCTTTTTAAAGCAGAATTCCAGCCTCCACCACCTCCCAAAAAAAAAAAAAGTTAAACGTTATCAGCTATAAATGCTGTGGCTGCTTACTTTTAATAGTAGGGCGCTTACCTGTCCGTGGATTCAGCGGTGTCCTCACCCCGAGACGATTCTGTTGGGTGCTGGCACTGCCATCTTGACTAAGGAAACTGGCAGTGAAGCCTCGTGGCTCCATCTCCAGTTTCCTACTGTACATGTGCAAAACAAGCTGCACTTTGTGAATGGGCTGCAGTCCTCTGGGACCTTGGAAGTGTCCCAGAGGGCTGCGGAGGGTGCCAAAATCAGGTACCTGCTCCCCTTCTCCCCCCCAAAAGGTGACAAATGTGGCAGCAGAAAATCGGAACTTCCACTTTTGGGTGGAACTCCGCTTTAAAGACTTTATTTTTTTGTAGTTCTTTTATTTATCCAAAAGTTGCATAATATAATATATGCAGGAGCAAAGCATCAAATGGTACACAATTATCCAAGACAACAGTAGCATTGACTAAACAGCAAAGTCAACCTATCAAAAGGGAACATATGAAAATGGAGTAGACAGCAGGTCAATGGTCAGATGATAAAACAGAGAGATTACTGTGAGAATCAGCAAATGGCATCTCTGAAGAACTCATTGACATATTAACGGTGGAATGCAACTTAATATGACATTTATAAACAAAAATTGTCAGGATCACCAAAGGGATCCCAAAGGCCAAAAAACCTTTTGAGGAAACATGTCGCAATGTAGGATAAAAATATTATCAAAAAGACAGAATTAAACTGCACAGGGTAAGTTTCAGAACTGAATGAAAAAAGGGAGGAACAGAGTGTGGGGAACAGCGAAGGAAGGAATGACAGGGAAAAGAGGGAGTGAGGATAGAGAAAACAAGATCGATGGTCTTTGATTAAAAGTAGTAAAAGAACACAGAAAGAAATCAGGAAAGCAAGGCAGAGGTTTTTCTATCTCTCTCGCCTGGGGCCAGACTTCGGCTAGTCCCAGGGGCTTTAGCCAGGTTGGGAAACCTCCTGCAGGTAGGCGTCAGTATAGACATAATATTGCCATGGCCTTCAGGTGTCTTGGAAAAGCTGACCCGATCACATGCTATGCACAGCAATACAAAGCCGCATGCTGGAGCTGACAGGGGAGAGATCTGTATTGTTTACATACAGACCTCTCCCCCATCAGTGATACTTGGCGATCGCTGGGTGCCAGTGGGAAATCAACAGCTGGGACCCAGTGACTGACAGCTGAGGTTGCCAATGGCCAGAAATACAAAATCAAGTATATATACACATAATTTTGTGCAGCCCTACCACCCTGTAGCAGTAGTTCTGCTATAGGGCGGTTAGGAAGTGGTTAAAGACACTCCAAACACAGGTCACAAATACAGTGCATTTACCTGTGCAAGAATGCATGGTACAGTAGTACCATGAGATCCTGTTGAAGTGTGTTTTTAAAAGTTGTGCATGTACTACTTTTGGGGCAGTCATTACGATTTCAGCCTTTTCAAATGAATGGGCTGAAATCGCACTGTGATGCGCACAGGAGCACACTGTATGTTCCTTTACAAATCATGGTGTGCAGCGGCATTCAAAGCTCATCATTGTAAGCCCCCTGTCACTGGTAAATGGTTTGTCTAAATCAGGAGTACTTAGCTTTTTGAAGAGAGAGGGCCATCTAAGTGATTTGGTATCAGCTTGCAGGCCACAATGAAATGAAAAGGTTCAGAATTTTGAAATTTTTTTATTTTGAATAGCATAATGAACATTTTCCTCCTGCAGCTGCTGCATGCAGGCAGGAGATAGGGAGAGGAGGAGAAGCTGGCTTTCAGTGGTTGCAGGAGGATATTGCAGAGGATCAGTTCCTATATATGCCACCTCTCCTGTCAAATTGTAAAACAGAATGTGATCGGGAGACCACACGGGCCCCCGGAGCATGGGGCGAAGTCACCACTGGGGCCCCTGAAACTACATCAATGGTTGGTTGGCGGGGGTATGGTGGTAAAAACTTGTCTCAACTAAAGGGTTCTATCACCCCCCCCAAACTGCAAATGTAAACAAGCCCTTACTGTCCTGAGCCCCCTATAAGGTTGCTTTCCCACTGATGCACTGCGGATTATCTGCACCATGGGTGCAGCTCAACTAAAGGGTTCTATTCCCCCCCCCCCCAAACCGCATAAGTAATCAGTGCACCTGCATCTTTCCTGCAGGTTAGCTGCGCTTCGCCATAGACTTGTATTATAGCTTGCAGGTGTGGTGCACTTTCTGAAAGCAGCAGGTGCACTGTTCTGCACCTACAAAGCAGCGGGAGAGCAGCCTCATAACCCTTTTTAAAGTGCTAATATGGCCACTGAAAAACAATGGTTGGTCGGGGGGAGGGGGGGGGGGTAAAAAACACGTCTCAACTAAAAGGCTTCTATCACCCTCTCCCAAACCGTAAATGTAAACAAGCCCTTACTGTCCTGAGCCCCCTATAAGGCTGATTTCACACTAAATCCTCTAACTGCTACTGTTTGGACAGTTTGGTTTGTTAAAGTTAGTTGAAAAACACCAGATTGGCTAGATCACCAGGTTAAAAAAAAAAAAATCTAATGCAGCCATCACATAAGGATTGGTAAACTGAAATTAAATACATTTTTGTTTGGGGTTTCATACAACCCCTGAAAAGCACTTATCCTTTAGAACAGGGGTCTCCAAACTTTCTAAGCAAAGGGCCAGTTTACTGTCCTTCAGACTTTACGGGGCCAGTGGGAGTAACAAATGCCCTGACATTAGTGGGCATAAGTAATGCACCATCATTGGTTTGAATGGAAGGAATAATGCCCCATTATTGGTATCAATGAGAAGAATAGTGCCCCATCGATGCGGTCAGTGGAAGGATTAGTTCTCTATAGATGGCTTCAGTGGGAGGAATAGTTCCCCATAGATGGAGTCAATTGGTGGAATAGTGCCCCAAGGGCCAGGTAAAGGCAAGCCAAGGGCCACATCCAGCCCCCGGGCCATAGTTTGGAGACCACTGCTTTAGAGTAAAAAATGTTACCAATGTGGAACAAAGTTTCAAAGGCCTTGTTTGAAAATGTAAATTGTATCCTTCTATCACTGCTTAAAATTGAACAAAGTCCTTGCCACTGTATCCAATTCTGTGCCCAGTCATGGGATACATTTCACTGCTCTACTGTACCAAGTATCTCTTTGCTATATTAATATTCAGAGATCCCTTAGGCTCCATGCACATGAACTTTTTTTAAGCTCCTAGCAGCTAGTTATGAGTGTTTTTTTTCTTCCCCTAGAAGTAAGTAGTAAATCCAATGTGTCCATGCACACTATTGCAGGCTAGAAGCGTTTTTCAAGCTTCGGGTTCTAGGAGCAGGAAAAAAATCTTTTTTTTGCATTTTTGGGAGAATATACAGTATATATACACATATACAGTAAAAACACCCAAAAAAAGGGAACGCTCCTAAAAACATTCCTAAATGCTACTAAAAACAGCTATTATCAACATTTTTTTAGCTTAAAAAAATGCTAGTGCACATGGAGTCTTATACGCAATACATAATTATTTATCAAAGCCAAATAATGTCCATCTATCTTTCCAGTGCTTGGATTCATTAGGAAGTTGAAGCAGTTAAAACAAGGATGGAATGGACAATACTGCAGGAGTGTAAGTGTGGACTAATGTACAGGAAAAGCTGTCTAGTCAATAGAAACCACGTGTGCCATTAATCATGTGTTTATACAAAGGAGGGGATTCCCCCTATTGAAGAGAAAGTTAGAATGTTCAGGTCCCAGGAAACTTTGGGCTTAGATCCCCCTTACGGGAAAATAATAGGTTTAATTTATGCACATGGATATTCTTCTTCTAAACAATACGTTCAAGACAGTAAGAAAAGCTGTCACTGGACACATCTACTGTAACTGTTACCCCTCCACACAGCAGGCACTGCAGTTTTCCTAAAAGTAGATTGTTGCTTTGTCTCCTATGTGCACCCTGGAAGCCCCTGAACC